TTAGTGCTTCTACTGGTTCCAGGATGGTTCAACACTTACACCACGAAAGCCTATCGAGCTGTCATATCAACAGCTGCCAGTTTGTGCCTTTCAGGTTGAAAACTTGGAGCAAGCCAAGCAGGTTGTTCCCGAGGATTTGAAGGCTCGGACTCGGATCCTCCTGGTAGAACACAGTAGCCATTTTTCTGAATGTGGCTGCACTTATATATTTTTCAATGCCACTCTGGAGCGGATGTGTGTGTGTGTAAGCCGCTCTAACATGCGGATGTTGAACTATCGGAATTGAGAATTTTGAGAGCAGGGGGCATGCGGCCATCACGCAAACGCATGCCAACGAAGCTATGCGTGATGGTGGAAGCCAGGTCTGATCCGCCTGGTGTACCTGCTGAGTGATAACACCACAATCTTATTTGCTGTTGATTTCTTGACAAGTCAGTTTGCTTCAAACATATACCGCATGATCGACATGATCGACGGTGTCGTTCACTCACCTTTGACCTGTGTTTCTGAGTTTCAAGGCCACCTACTTAGGAGGTTCTGGGCTTTGCCATCATCCTATCGCTCCACAATCCTAAACCACTCCCAGTGTGTAGAGGGTGCATGCCAGATCTTGCGACACCGTCGAGGCCCCACTGGGAGACTATTGCTGGTACGGGCCTTCCCGTGGAAGTCAATGGACCTCACTTGGATGGGCTGCCTGCTTGAAGAGGTGCCTGATTTCTGCACACCACAGTGGCGTTGACTAGCTGCTGTCACGCAAAAGACACAGTCCCACGATAGACTGTTAATAGCTGCAATCATGCGCAGCTGCAAAGCGGCAGAAGCTGCCACAGCGCAAAGTTGCACTGCGAAGTTGATCCGAATAAGTGGGTTGAACTATGAGTCCGACTCTCAAGCTTTCTATTGACTTGAAAGAAAAACAGAAGTCTATTCTTCAGGCTTTAGGTTGCAAAGGTCGGCAGTCATGCATTTTAGAAGAGAACCAGAAGTCTTTTCATCAGGCTTTAGGTAACGAAGGTCGGCAGTCACGCATCGCAGAAGCAAACCAGAAGTCATTTCATCAGGCTTCAGGCTACGAAGGTCGGCAGTCATGCATTGCAGAAGCAAACCAAGAAGTTTATTCATCAGGCTTTAGGTCGTGAGGGCTGGCAGTCTTGGTTAAAATGCCACCCCTTGGGGGGCCAGTAGGGTCCTGGCATAGAACGCCTGGCACTTAATTGACATCGGGTCGTCCGGAGCTTAAGTTACTCTCAGATCTGGGGTCTGCTCAGACATTCGAAGTTTGTGCCTTTGATGTGATGGGCGCAAGGAACCCATTCTACGCCGTCAAAACCACCTGGTTGTGTACGAGGACTCCCCTCTTTCTAGGTTATCATAGTGTTGCCGTACTGCAAATTGACTCATCATTTCAGGTTGTCCCGACCTTAAAACTTTCTCAGATCTGAAGTCTGAGCTCCGTAGGGAGGGCCCTGTGTGTGTAAGCCGCTCTAACATGCGGATGTTGAACTATCGGAATTGAGAATTTTGAGGGCAGGGGGCATGCGGCCATCGCGCAAACGCATGCCAACGAAGCTATGCATGATGGCGGAAGCCGGGTCTGATCCGCCTGGTGTACCTGCTGAGTGATAACACCACAATCTTCTTTGCTGTTGATTTCTTGACAAGTCAGTTTACCGCATGATCGACATGATCGACGGTGTCGTTCACTCACCTTTGACCTGTGTTTCTGAGTTTCAAGGCCACCTACTTAGGAGGTTCTGGGCTTTGCCATCATCCTATCGCTCCACAATCCTAAACCATTCCCCAGTGTGTGTTTGGTTCGTAGATAAGGGATGGCTTTGATTGAGTGTCTAATTTGATGTCCTGATGGCTCAGTACCACGGGTGTTCTCGGCCAGCTCAAGTGTCTTTGTGTGTTTTGCGAGGATCGGCAACGTCCAAATCGAAGACACGGTATTGTCAAAGATTGTGACAGACTCAAGATCGGCTCATGACAAACTACTTTAATTGGTCACAGCGGATAAACTCATAGCAACTTTTTTGGCCACAGCTTGCGTTTGATAACTCGAATATTGCCATGTTGGCGCCACATCGCTAGGGTCTGGCGATGAAGTACGGCCCGTTTCGAGCCCTTTGGAAGTCCAGAATTTGGAGTCGGATATTGTATGGCGGGATTGACCTCAACATTCTTCAAAAAAGTCACTGATACTTGGGAATGGTTGTGGCCCAATACTTTACGTTTGACATGGGAACTGTTGTTGTGTCACGCGTGCTGTTGCTTGTAAGACCATTTCATTCCAGTTCAATTTCAATATTCTCTATCAAACATTATCATAAATCCTTTGTTCCCAATCCTGAAAATTCGGATTTGGTCCACTTCGTACCCAGGCAGCGAAGCTAGAGGGGCGAAGTTTTCTTGGCAAGAAGAAAGGTGGAAAGGCGGGACAAGAGTGGCCAGGGCCTTCATGGATTGGTAGCTGCAAAGGCCTTCAAGGGGGGTGGTTTTTGAACAATCTTTGCTCAAACAATCTCAAACACATAGAGGGACAGGGAGAAGAAATAATTATCCTTTTGGATTCAATCACAATACTCGCTGAGTTAATCTTCCTTGGATATCCTTTCCGACGGGTTCGATTTTTTTGCATGAACTCATGAGTATATGATCACAACAGGGGTGTGCTACAGATGAGCGGTAAGACTGAGCCGAGCTGCGACTATCACATGGTTTGGGGGCCCAGGTTTTAATCACAAAGGGTCAGAAGTGTTGGAATGCTAGACCGTTCCGAATGGTTCTGTTTGAAATCACAAAGATACGGCCTTTCCAGTCTGAGAAGTCAGTCTTTGGACTTGGCTTCGACGCCACCTCGCGGCAGAAGGAGACAGTTCAGGACGGAATCCCCGCTTTGCTAACGGGAACCAATGCTCGGAAAACTCTTGAAATTTGAAAAGTGTTGGCTTTAGGAATCAGGAGCAGACACTAGAACCAGATTTGGTGGTTGGAGGCCATCGCATTTGGTTGGAGGCCATCGCTCTTAGGTTGGAGGCCATTGCTAGTAGGTTTAGGCCATCGCTCTTACGTTGGAGGCCGTTGGCTTTAGGAATCAGGAGCGGACACTAGAACCAGATTTGGTGATGTGGCAGCTGTATGTGTGCAGATTTGGCTGTGACCCACTTGAAGTGTTGTGCCAGGAGCTCGCCAAGCGGTTGGACAAAGAAGCCGACCAGTTGGCAGTAACTTGTCAAAATCCGTCAGCAAGAGACATCATCGTGAAAATATTGGGCATGGTGACCCAGGACCTTATAGAACATGCGCATGACAGTAATTATATTGGCAGAGTTTACTCATAGATGACGGAGAGGAAGATATATGCCGTGGCTTACTCTCAAGGTCTCTAGGGGGGGCGGCCATGGAAGTGCAGGTGGCTGTGGTCACTTGCGCTTTCTCGATCGGTTGGATCGTACGGTCGACCTGGAAGGAACAGAGCCCCGTTTGTCCACCGTGCCACTGCCATTGCACTTTCGAGATCCCAAGCGGACCGCATAGCTTTCCATTGTTGCTGGGATTGGGCATATTGATTTGTGCATTGTTGGTGGCCCTTGCCTGGTTGAGTTCGAAGAATTTCGAGTTGCGTCGGTCGGGAGGAGGATCGCCTAAAGGTGGAAAAGGTGTGCAAGGCCTGTCAAGCCGTTTCATGCAGCTTACACAATGATAGCTGGAGGGATGGCTTTGGTGAACTATGGCGAGCCAGGTCCCATCTGGCATTGCAGAGCATTGCTGGCCCACGCTGGCGGTTCAGAATGGGCCGTGCTGACACCAGACCATGATGTGTACATCGAGGAGCTCTCCTCGACCAACTCCGACTTCACTGGCTTTGTTTACTGTGGAGAGAATGGGGCCGTGCCACCACACATCAACCCGGCCCATGTCTACGGCTTTGACCCTCTTACCCCACAGGAGTTGGGAGCCTTTCGAATGCAAGGTCAAGTGCTTGCCAATGCCCATATGCATGCTGCAGGTATCCATGTTCCTCCGGTTGCAGCGCCAGTGCCTGCTGCAGCTCCGGCACCTGTGGTGCCCTTGCCAGGGGCTCTGGGGGCGGCTGCAGCTGCCCCGGCTGCTCCTGCTGGAGCAGCTGCTGCCCCCGTCGCTGCTGTTGTGGAAAGGGTGGACACTTGGGTTGCTTTGGAGGAGGCTGGGCCTTACAAGAAAGGAGATGTGGTGGCTCGGGAACCCACAGCCCTGCCCGCTGGATCGGTTCACATTGGCGAGCGAGGAGTGGTTCCTGCAGGTGTTGGGAGCATCTTAGTGAAGAAGGTGAAGCCTTCAGAGGCAGCTGCATATCGCATGGAGGACCTTCGAGTGCTGCCGATCAAGTTTGATGCTCAAGGTATTCGCCGCCAAGAGTTTCCCGCAGCAGTGTCTTTGATGGATGATGCAGAGCCTTCCGGAGGTGGGATTCAGTTGACTGGTCCCCCAACGGCTCTTAAGATCTTGAAGGATTTGAGAGATCAAGCATTCACTCCGAGCACATTCCACGAGCACTGGATGCGGACCTCAGACATTCCCAGAGGAGATCGCTCCACCTATGAGCATGAGTGCCTGTCTCGAATCTTGGAGAGCATGGTGATGGTCGACCAGCTGAACGCTCCAGCCCTGCAGTCAGCTGAATTGTTGCGCCGCAGGCTTCAAGTGATCAGAGAAGCCCACCGCATTTCGCCTGGACAGCCTGACTACAGTGCATCTGATGTGATGATGGGTTGGAAGTACAGGCGCAGTGGACAAGGCATTGACTCTACATTGGCTGCACATGTGGCAAATGAGTTGAAAGCTGAGGCAGCCATCGCGAAGGAGGCCAGAAAAGCTCGTGAGGAGCAAGCAGCCCGCCGTAAAGGTCGCAACCCGAAGAAAGGCGCGGCCGAAGGCGGGGGGGAAGGATGAGCGACTATGAGGCTGGCGGTTCAAGGGCCAGAGCTGACCAGCCGAGAGTGGAGGCCCGCTGCATGAGCACAGAGAATTCACCCCATGGAGAGGCTCAAGGCCATGATGATCGGTGGAGAGAGCTTTTTCCTATGCCTCTCTGCCCTGAAGTTCCGAGAGAGGCCGGGCTGTCGGTGAGTGCGCGTAGACGTCGAGCTGCCGTCCGTTCTAGAGTGGACTCTGTTAATTCAATCATCAGAACCTTGAATGAGATGTACTCTCCTAGCCGAGATGGCGATTTTTCACATGGTTTCGTAAGGACTAGAGCACAAGAGGCATGTCAGCACGAGCTTTTTAGGGCGGTGGCCAACACAAAACCACTGTCAAAAGTTTTGAGTATGCGTGAAGCTGTTCAAGAGCTTCTGCGAACAGACCTGTCCTACTCGGGCGAGGTTGCAACTACGGTGCGTCCCTACGACAGAGGCCTGCTTTCGATTCCGTCGTGTGGCAACCAAGCCGTTGTTTTGAGCGACGTGTTGGATGATGTTGGCTGCGAGACAATCAGGGACCCTCATCGCTGCATGTTGTTGGACGAGGAAGGTATTGGGGCAATGATGGAAGAAAATAAGCCAATTCAAACTTATATGGACCCCCTTCTCAGGGACGACATTGGTTTGTATTGCAACTTTGTGCATGATCTGTTTGAAGCTGGCATGATAGCTTTCACAAATAGACCTCAGGGCTTGGTAACCCCCTTCTTTGTGGCCAAGGAAAGCTTCGTTTGATTTTGGATTGCAGAGAAACAAACAGGATGTTCAGAAAGCCGCCTGTGTTGGCAGCCAGAACAGGAGCTTCTTGGTCTCAGATCAGGATCCCCGACGGGGAACAGTTGTTTGTTGCACAGTCTGACATTAAGGACTATTTTTACAGCTTGCAGTTGCCGGTAGATCTCAGAGCATTGTTTAGCATGCCACCTATCCCTGGTGCCCTGCTCCGACATTGGAAGGTGAGTGCAGAACTCGGTGGATCCTTGAACACGGACGACTGGGTGCATCCAATGCTACGAGTGGTGCCCATGGGGTGGTCGTGGGCGATGTGGCTGTCACAAAGGGTGCATCAGCATCAATCGCAATTGGGGGCTGGGGTATCTTGTGATAGAGTTTTGGTGGATGGAAAACCGGCGCCAAGCCTCAGCAATGGCGAGGTACTTCTGCTGCCCTATGCCGACAATTTGAACGTCTGTGGCATCAATGCAGAGGCAGTGCAAAGAGCGAAAGACAGAGCAGTTGCAAGGTTGAGACAAGTCGGACTGACAGTACATGAAGAGATGGATGCAAACAACACCTCACAATCTTTGGGATACATGATCGATGGAGCAGTTGGCCAGGTGACACCTATTCCAGAACGACTTCATCGAGTTCAGCTGGCCTTCAAATGGCTCTCCCGCAGGCCCCGAGTCACGGGAAGAGCTGTGCAGAGGTTGTTGGGACACGCAGTACATTTCATGATGCTGAGGAGAGAGTTGTTGAGCATTCCACATCATTTGTATGCTTTCGTGCAACAAGCAAATGGTCGATGCAGGTTGTGGTGCAGTGCGGCAGTTGAAGCCAGATGGATTGGCGAACTCTTGCCTCTCTGTGCAACGGACCTGAGAAAACAGACTAGTGCATTGTTGACAGCTTCGGACGCTTCGTTGTCGGGGGTTGCAGTTTGTACTAGATTAGCAGATGAGCAGTCAGTCAAAACTATCGGTAGCTACAGGGAACGTTGGCGCTTCAAGGGCCGCAATCCGGTGAATCGACCTCGGCAGAACGCTTTAGGGGTTTTGGACCCGTTTTCGGACATTGCTAGCGTAAAACCGGTTGGACATGTCAGGGATGACCCATTTGAGCTGGACAACCAATTCCCCGAGGTGCCCAAAAATTTGTTGGAAAACAGTGACTGGTCTTTGCGGTTCTCTCAACGCATGGTTTACAAGGAACATATCACATTGCTTGAGGGAAGAGGCATTGTTGCAACACTTCGACATAAATTTCGGAGCATTCGTCATTTTCATCAACACCATGTTCATTTGGCAGATAATCTTGGCATGGTTTTGGCTGTTGACAAGGGTAGAAGCTCTGCCCCTCAAATGTTGAGGGTATGTAGGCGCATAGCATGCCTTCTCATTTGCACAGGCTCTAGCCTGACTTGCCGCTGGATCCCAAGTGAATCTGAATATCGCCGATGAAGGTTCTCGGTACTGGGAACATCTCAGGACAGGGAAAACTTCTTCCAGCAAGCAAACCTCAGAGCACTGGCCAAAAGAGGAAACCAGTGCAAGTGGGTTGGAGCAACAGACAGTCCCTGCGCAATCAGTTGCAGGGAAACAACAGAGAAGAAAGGGCAGACAAGCGACAGAAATACAAAGAGACAGTGAGCCAGATTCCTCGTTTTCAGGGTCAGTCTTTTCTTGAGATGAATGCAGTTTCAGAGGAGGTGGCCTCGGACTACAGGATTCGCATGGCTCGTTTCAAGGCATTTGCCAAGCTGGAGCAGATCTCTCTCCGAGGTCAAAAGAACTTGGACAATGCATTGAGCGCCTATCTCAACGAGATGTTCGAAGATGGGGAAGACATAGGGGAAGCCACAAAAACCCTCGCAGCAGTGGTGGACAGCGTCCCCGACTGCACCCAAAAGGGGAGCCTCCCACGCTCCCGCAGATGCTTGCAAGGATGGAACAGGTTGGACCCAGGGTCCACAAGGCCTCCAATACCTTGGGAGCTGGTGGCCGCAATCGTGAATTTCATGCTGGGAAGACAACAGATCAACGAAGGGCTTCTGGTGTTGCTGATGTTCGACGCCTACCTCAGACCGGGCGAGGCAATCAGCCTCCATCGGAGCGATCTGGTGGAGCCTACGGTGCAGCATCCAGTGTTTTGCCTAAACCTCAATCCCTCCGAAAGGGGCGCCAGCTCGAAGACGGGGCTTTCAGACGAAACAATAGTCCTGGACGGAAGGGAAACACCATGGATGGGCTTGCTGCTCCGCAGACACCTGGAGAGCCACAAGGCACAAAAGTTGTTTCCAATAGAGTATCGGCAGCTCAAAGACGCTTGGCAAAAGGCTCTTGTCGGCTTGCAGTTGTCGAGCAAACATTGTGTGCTTTATCAGTTGAGGCACTCAGGGCCTTCGCACGACAGGATGACCAAGGCAAGGAGCCTCGGGGACATCAAGAAGCGTGGCAGATGGTTGAGCGACTCTTCGGTTCGGCGCTACGAGGCAGCAGCGCGTTTAAACCAGGAGTTTCAGAAGTTGCCCAGGCCAGTTCAGACAAAGGCTTTAGCTGCTCCTCAACTCCTACAACAGTGGGTCCAAAGCTTTTTCAGCCGGAAAAGAAGAAGGATCTGAACAAGTGGGTGTTGGAGATTTTCAGTGGCACAGCACACCTCAGCAAAGCAATGGTTCAACAAGGTTTTCGTTGTGCAGCCTGGGACATTGACTATGGATCGGGTTGTGACGTGCTTCAGGTTGAGGTGTTGAGAAACCTTTTGAGTTTTATTTCTTCACATGACGTGGTGCTCATTTGGTTTGGCATGCCATGCCAAAGTTGGACCAGAGCCAGGCGATGGGACGGTGGACCACCGCCTCTCAGAGATGATTCTGAGTTTCTTTGGGGCCGTAATGGCTTGTCGGCTACAGATGTTGAAAAGGTGAGGCTGGGAAATGTCCTACTATGTTGGACAGTTGCTATGGCCTCGCTTTGTGACAAGTTGAGCATTGCTTATGTGATAGAGAACCCAGGCAGTTCAAGATGTTGGCTTACAGCACCCATGCAGTTTCTTTTGCGCACAGCTTCCCTCAACTTCGTGGATTACTGCCAATATGGGGTCCCCTGGAGGAAAAACACGGGACTCCTCCATGCTGGCATCCCCAATTTGGCTGGGACGCTCCGATTGTGCAAAGTTTTGAACGGCAGATGCAGTGCAAACCACAAAAGACACATCATCCTGTCTGGAAAAGATAGTCATGGCATCTACTGGACACACAGGGCCCAGCCCTACCCGCCCTTGCTTTGCCGCCACCTAGCACTTCATGTGGCCAGTACACTATAGTGGGTGTTGGGAGGTATGAATCTGCTTGGTGTTTTGAGAAACTTCAACGTTGAGCAGTTCGG